GAGGGGTCTCCCGGGCGCCCTCCTTGGCCCCGCAGCGGGGAGCAGCGCGGGAAGGCGCCGGCCCCGAGCCCGAGTCCAGCGCGCGGCTCGTGCCGGCCCGGCCGGGCTTGCGGGGCACCATGTGCCGCTGAATAGCCCGAGCTCCGTGCGCTGCCTCTGTGCTGTCACCGCCTCGGCCGGGAGCCTGGCTGCGTCCCTCCTTTTTTCTTCTGGGGTCTCCCGATTGAAATCACGACGTGCTGCCAGGCACCCTCCGGCGTGCGGTATATCAAGCCTTTTGGCAAATCAGTCGAGGAGACGGGGAAGGACCTCAGGGGGTCGCCTGCGGCAGCCCTCTTGTGAGCCACCCGACACAGGCGTCTGTCTGAATTGTACTTCCAGCTCTCAAAACAGAGCTCGGGCAGGCTCTTGAAAGCACTGAACCACCCTCAGAGCAAAAAGTAATTGCTTAGTATTCAGTTGTTCCGAGTCCAGCCCATTAGTGGACGCAGGGAATAGTTAGGATCATGGAAAATGAGGGGTAGAAGGAAGCTCAGGGGGTCATCTAGTCCACCCCCTGCTCAAAGCAGGACCAGCCCCAACTGTATCATCCCAGCCAAAGCTTTTGTCTACCCGGGTCTTAGAAACCTCTAATTGATCACTCACCATTTCCTGAGAGCCCTCTTCTGTAGCTGCAGATTTATTAAATTGTCTTCTCTTCACCAGACTAAGTAATCCCAGTCTCACCTTTTCTTGTATATCGTATTTCCTAGACCTCTAATAATTTTTGAGGCTCTCCTCTGAACTCCTCCAAATGTATCCACCTCTATCTTGAAGTGCTGTGCTGAAAATGGACACAGTTTTCCAGGTGAGGGGAGACTTCACCAGCTCAGTATAGAGCGAAGTCTCTTTCCCCCTGACTTGCCTGAGACACTCCTATTAATACAGTGTACTGTTCTTAGGTTTTTTCTGACAACAAGACGCTGTTCACTTACTCAGAAGGTTAAAAGAGTCTCTGCATGCACTGGGGAAGGGGGAAGAATGTATTGTTTATGTCCCATGTGCGACTCCTGAGCAGTAAAGTTGTACACAGAGTGATATTTAAGAACAAGCCATTCCAACTAGAACTTTGAAAAGAGAAACAGTCGTTTATACATGATTGTGCTTCTTTCCTTACACCCTTTACCACTGCTGAGACATTAAGCTTTATAGCCAGTTCACTCCCTTCCAGTCTAACTTTTCTATCTGGAGGGAAGTCACAGTGCATCCCCGCAGCTGTACTTGGATGATTAATTCTAGCCAGTGGACCACCCCTCTGTTTTGTTCACCTTGCCAGACTGAAAAAAAAGTGTTTGTGTTTTATTAGTGCTTGATAGGACCACTTTCTAGGAATTTGCCTGTCTAGTTTTTAGCCCTCTTTTGCATCCCAGGTGTATGAAAACTTCTGTTACGTTTTGTCATTTGTAGACATAAAAACTCACGGTGCTTTTTATTGAGTACTCCAGAGATCTAGTTTATTTTTAGTCTTTGTATTCATTTTTCTTCAGTCTCTCATGTGGCTGTAGTTGAATAAAGTATTCACTTCTTTCCTGAAAACTTTGCTGGCAGAGAATGGGTTTGAACTCAAAGTAACTGTATTCCTAATGTGGGTGAGTGCATATATAGGGAAATAAAAATAAAAGACAATCTGAAATCCTGCTGGATGTGAGGAGCTATAGCAATATAAAACTGATAATATATATTTAATACGTTGATATCTTATTGTTGGACAATGTCTATTCATATGTATAGAAAGTCAGGTCTACAGGCAGGTTTGGTACCTTATTTAAAAATGCTGACACATGAATAGAGCACGGTGCACTTCGTTGCTGAAAAGGATGTATAGAAATGGATGTAGCGCTTAGCACTGTAATCCTTTGTGGATATTGCTGTCCTGCTCTTGCACTGAATCCACTTTTTGCCAAGCACATAATCTCTTGTCATTACTTGTATGACCAAGTGCTGAATGCTATCACAGGATGGGCTAAGCCGGAGAGAAAGCTCTGCCATAGTAACTAACTTCATAAAACAGGTCAGTCAACTTTGCTCTCATTACCTTACCTGTGGTTCTTGGAAAAATGCCAGGACTCTGGTCACAGTAGTGACCAGCAATTAATCCAATCAGGACTAACAGATTTAGACAAAAGCATTAGGGTAAAAAGCATCTTCTGTGTGGATCCACTCAGGGATATAAGAAACTGGAAGGTACCTAGAAGATCTGATCAGGTAATTATGAATTTGCTTCAGTCCAAAATTCAAGTTCTGCTGTGGCAGGTCAATCCTATGTTACCAGCAGTCCTATGTTTCCAGGTCAGTCCTGGCAGACTACTCACCCTGATCATCATACTCCAAGGTTTAATGCAAATTCTGCCTGGTGTTTTGGGAAAATGAAAGTCTAATGTTTCTGGGAAGGTACTGTCTCTCTGACTGAATCCTTCTTCCCTCGAAAGTGGGATGCCATATTCCACATTACTGATATATTGCAGAGTCAGCCAGGAGCAGGGCTCTGAGGGAATCAGGGCCAGATGCAATAAATGACTTGAGTAGCTGGAATTTAGGTGCAGCAGCACCTAATCTTTAGACATGTAGCCCAGAGTGGAAGCCAGAAGCCTATATTAAGTCCCTAAAAAAGACCCTTCATAAAACCTACAAGCCACAGAGGGTGCTGCCTAGGAAATGCTGAGGATAGTGTCTGAAATCCTCTCCAGACCGCAGACTCTTCATTCAGAGCTGCAGGGAGGTGCTTCCATCCCCTTGGGATCCTGAGGGCCGGCACCCGCGGCTGTCCTTTGAAGGAACTGGGCAAGAAACCTTCCTTCCTTGACAATGGAGCCATTACAATGAAGGGAGAGGAACTAAGGAGCATCAGAAAATGAGACGAAGGGGATGCCACCCACCTTTATATAGAACAATTGCACAGGAAGTGGGAGATGTGGATTCAGTTTCCTCCATAGCATGGCGGGATTGGGGTGCAGGTTCAGATCCACCTCTTCCACCTCCCAAAAGCGCATCTTGGTGGGCACAGAGGCAAGACACCAGGGCAGGAGGGAAGCAGCAGCTGCCTCATGCACGTGGGGGGAGGCTGAGATCGCAGTTGTGGACTCGGGAGCTCAGTGCTGTTGCAGTCCCGCTTCGGGCGCCGCCAGCCTGTGCCGCACCTCGCCCCGGGGCCTCGGGGAGCTCGAGTGAGAGGCGAGGGGCGCTCGCGCGGGGGGCGGGCTGCGTCTCCCCTTAGGCCCACGGCATTGAATAGCCTGGAAGGCCGATTTCGCCGCCCAAGTGGCCCCAGTTGGACCCCTCGGCCCCCCTCAAGTCCCCAG